GCCAATAGAAGAGATAAAATGAGATACTAAGAAAATACATGATTCATCTAAAAGAAAGCAAGAAAGTGTCATTTGAAGAAAAAGAAACAGAGTAAAACCAACAGAAAACAAACAGCAAGATGGTGGGTTTAAACCTAGCCACATACATGATTGTATTGTATATAAAGCTAAACATTCTGATTAAGGGTAGACATTGTCAGAACAGATATAAACTAAGCAAGATCCAACTATATGTTGTGTACAGAAGATGCATTTAAAAATAAGTACAGGTGGAAGGAGGTGGAGGTGTATCGGGGGCTAAATGGTGGTGGGAGGAGACCTGACTTGCAGTGGTAAACACCCAGTACAGTGGACAGATGATGTCTTGTGGAATTGTGCACCTAAAACCTGTATAATTTTGTTAACCACTAATAAAAAAGGAAAGAATCTAATAAATAAAATGGTCAATTCATGAACTCACGTCTTGATGTGCATTTGAAGAAATGGGTGTCGAGGTGGTCAATTAGGACACTGAGCCAGACTAAAGGTGACAATGAAGGCTTATTCACTGACTGTGGTGTTGCAAGCAAAAGGTAAAAACAGGCACCACTAAAGAACAAAATAAACGAGCAAACACAATTGAAATAGACTCGTAGACACAGAGAACAGACTACTGGACGCCAGGGAGGAGAGGGGTTGGGTGACTGGGTGAAAAATTGAAGAGATTACAAAGTACAAATTGGCAATTACAAAACAGTCATGGGGATGTAAAGTACAGCCTAGGAAATATAGTCAATAATATTGTGGTAACTGTGTACAAGGCCAGGTGGGTACTGGAAATATCAGGGGAAACACTTTACAAAGTTTATGACCACTATGCTGTACACCTAAAACTGATAAAGAATAACATTGAATGCAACTACAACTGAAAAGTACAATTTTTAACAAACAGGGTTTGACGTTTTCCCAGTGGAGATGGGAGAATCACCTCACTGGTGAGGAGCCCTAACAAAGGCTTTTGCATCATTTCAGACATGTGGCTCAAGAGGAGGGAGAGAGGGAAAGGCTGGGAGTGAAAAGGTGCTGCATCAAAGCAGAGAAAAGCATTTCAGCTGAAAGCCCTGACCAAGAGGCCTGCCAATGAAGATGTTGGGCTAGGAATGCAGGCACGCAAATGAGAATGGCTGTCCCAGGGGGTCCAAAGTTCTTAACTGCGGTTCACCCCAGTAAACCAGCACACTGGCTGTGTACAGATCTTGTGTGGGCAGCACAGCTCCCCTTGCAAGGCCTGGTCAGGCAGGAAGTGCCACACCTAGTAGTTTGGCATAAAATCAGACTCCTCAATGAATGTATTTATGACAGAACTGCGAAGTATGTAAAGCTAAGAGTCATAGAATAAAGGAGAACCAGGCATATCATGCTAGGATACTAACTCCTTAACATGGTCAGTGAGGATACACTTGGTCTATGAACAGGTTCAGGACACCGTGGCTGACAACCGTAGAGTAGACATCCCTCTGAGGTACTCATTGAAGCTTGGCCAAAAAACTAGTTTCATTAAATTTCAAAAAAGTAAAATCATAGTATATGCTCTGATCATGACAAAATTTAATTAGAGATGAAAAGATTAAAAAGGTACCAGTAAATCCCTATACATTTGGAAATTAAAATATAAACTTCTAAAAACACCTGGGTCAAACAAGAATTATGAGGTAATTCAAAAGCATTTTGAATTAATAGTAATAAAAGCACAACATATAATTTGTGGTAGTCACTTCTTTTATTCCTTGGTCTCCAGACCAAATATTCTAAATATGATTCAAATATATACAATATATATGGGAGAAATTGGTCACTGTCTGAAACATACACGACACTTTATAAGACGGTACCACAACCTCCTAAGACATGCTCTCTCACATGGTCCATAAAATGCGTCTCTAGTAGGCCCTGACAACCTTCTCTAATGCAGCTGCTTCTAGATCAGCATTTCTCTAACCTTTGTTTTCTCCCAGAAAGCCCTCACTAAATAGCTCTTCCAGTTCAACTTCCCCTTAGCTGGATTCTAAAAGTGCCTGTGACTACTCCAACACTAATGAGCACAACAAAAGTGTGACAGATGGGAAGGTGAAAAGAAAAAGACACAATCATTATCCAGATGTGGTTAAAATGTCTTGTGTCAAGTTTACAAAAAAACATGTGGCCATCTGAATGACTATGTTCCTAGACTTTAGAAGTCCTTTTCAAATGAGGGGCTTAGAAGCTTCAGACTGCTTGTTCAAGGAATTAAATAACTGAGTGAATGAAAACATAGCTGAAGAAGTAATCTTAGTATTAGAATTTTTTATTTGATGGACTTGAAAAGATCCGGCCAAGCCAGTATGATAATCCAGGCTCTTTACACACTAGTTCAGCACCCTTCTGATAGAATCATGCTTCCACTATTAATGATATCCATGAAGTAAAGAAACCAGCAAGTATAGTTCCTCTTGGTGACATTTGTTCCTTGAAATTGAAGTTTAAAAAACCTAAAAGTGAGAGGGGGTAGCAGGGGTAAGGGGAAGGAGAAATGGTTTTCAGAAATGTGTATAAAGGACACATGGGCAAAACCAAAGTGAGGTAGGATCAAGCGTGAGAAGCGGGGATGGCTGAGGTAGGGTTGAGTGGTGGAGGAAACGGAGACAGCTATACATGAACAACAATAAAAAATGTGAAACAAAATGAAAGTTTTGAATGTTTTTAAATTAAAAAAACCCAAATCTGTATTGTATATAAGCTATTTGCTCTGTAATTTTTTGATTTATGATTGCCAAAGAAAAGCAACACTACCTACATACAAAGTTATCTTGACCAAAAATTTGAACTTGAATTTGATCAAGCCTCTTAGCCTACTAGTTTATAGAATTTTTTTAAGTTTTATTCAATTTATTTTTAAAAAATTTTATCCATTTCTTCCTTACTCTTGCCCTAAAGGAAACTTTTAAGATGTTTCCCCCAAACATTGTAATATTTTAAATTTTTTGCCTTCTAAAACCATTTTTTTTCTTGCAGAGGCAATATCACTTTCATTGAAAATGAATGCTCTGCATAATATAGTACAGAACAGTAATTGTTAATTCCATAAGCTCCTTTCTACCCTTCTTTTTGCTATAAAATGTGTCCCTTGGTCAAAAGAATGTTGCATATTATATGATCCCAATATGGTACATAAGTCATTTTGGAAGTTCATGGATGCCCAGGCTGGCAGAAGGGTTGAGGGCAGGAAAGGCAAACCCAGGATCAGTGCCTATTTCCATGAGAAGAAATCGCTGCATGCTCTGTGATATCCATTCTTGACCTCTCAAGGCATTAACCATTCTGTCTGGTATGGTGACTGGATACAAGTTAATCTCTTTTCTCATCCCACTACTTTCTCAATGGACTTCCATACAAAATGGTTTTGGTAGCAAGTATGAAAGTTATGCATGGAATCAATCATCTGGCTTCCACCACTGCTGAGTGCCCAACAAATAATAGAAAAGGCCAACGTTGAACCCTCAGTAGAAAACCATTTTCCAGGAGATCCACAATGCGCCTGGTGGGAAGTTGATTCCGGTGAACCCACCAAATAAATACTCATACTCCATTCTTATTGCCCCCTCCCCCCTTACAAAAGGTTGAAATCTTCTTGATTGAAGTCTAACTTAAGACAAACTCTTGATTGCTTTATCATGAAAAAAATTCACAAATATTGAGCCTTTCTGAATTCATGTTTGGAAACTATGACTCTTGTGGAAAAAAAGAAATAACTTTCACTCTCTCTATATAAAAGAAATAACAAAGGGCTTGTTCCACCACATTTTTGAAGTCCTAGAAGCAAGATAATATGGTTTGGATTTATAAATGTTAAGGATAATTAGAGATAGTCTCTATTCATCCCATGTTCTCCTGATCATTCATGATTAACTTCAGGAGATTCAGCTAAATCAGCCTCCATCGTTAGTTTTTCATATCATCAAGAATCTTAGTGTGTATCCAAAATAATAAGTTTTCAAGTAAAAATATAGTCTGTGACTTGTAATTACCCTCATTTTAGGTTTTGGAATTCTTGAGTAATTAATGCCTTTGCATTCTTAATATCTGTTTCTGAATGCTTTAATTGAAACAAAGTAGAGCAGCAGGACTCAGCAATATTTAGATTTTTTTTTTTACTTAATGATAGTTGTTGAAAACAAGTTAAATCTGTTTCACTCATATGGTCTGAGAATAGGTTGGGGTATCCACATTTGTGCTAGAGCTTCATCTCCTCTCCCAAATGATTCAGCTAAACATCATGAACATTTAACATTAGGTAATAAAATGTACTTTCCTAAAATAGCTGTAGTCCAAAAGGCTGTTGTGTGAGAAGAAAGTCAAAGAATTAATAAGATCTGCATAAGATACCCTAATCAATTTCTGAGGAGAAATGTATGGCCAAGGACAAACCAAGTTCACTTTTCCTGATGTCCCTCCCTCTGAGAAAGCATCTGGCAGACCCGGGCCATTCAAGCCCAAGAGGAATGGGAGTTTGCAGCAATTATCTAAATAATTCAGACATGAAGGCACACAGGGCTTATCAAAGTCACCCATGTGAGCAAAAGGAGAATCTGAATGTTTTGAATCTTATTAGGAATGTATTAAACTGTCTCTAGGACACATTTACTGGTTTTGACTTATTACATAAAGGAAAATGTTTACTGCTACACAGAGTAAGCTCATGTACGTATGTCATAGGAAATAAATGTTCAATATCCTTTCTATTTTAATTTGTGCAATAGAGAGTTTCTTTCCCCCATGTAAGATATACCAAGGGTGTTCTTACATTCTGTTTATGGCATCTACAATACTATATTTCTCAGGGAATTTTCTCGCTAAGCAGCATGAATTTTCATCCAGAAGAAAGAAAAAATCGGTGTTACTGATATGGATACAAAATAAAGGAGGAACAGAAAAGGATATAGGATTACCCACACCCTTCTGGGAAATAAAAAGACTTCACGAACTATTTAAAAAAATCATTTTATTCACAGGGTACATTTCCAAGTTTTCTCCAAGTAAGGGAGGTAGAGAAATTGAGACTTACGGAACCTTCTCACTACCAGCCATAACTACAATGAACACACTAAAGAAAAAGACGTGTTTTTACAGCAAACCTCTTCCAACAACTTTGCATTTAGATTCTGTGGAAAGAAACAATTCAGCAGAACCAACAGAGATAGGTACGGTTTTTTTCCAGTCACACTATGAAAAGTACCAATTACAGATTTTTTTCTTACCCGCTCTATTTTACATGAAAAAAAAAAAAGAAATGAAAAGCACTGATTTTCCCTAAACCTCCTGACAGCAGAATGTGGCTTTATTAGGAGGAAGTATTTCTACACACACTTCAAAGGTTATTTCATTTTATATTCTATGCTAAAACCTTTTGCATAATTATTGCATTCAAGGACTGGTAGATTATATTACATGAAAAAGAAGATTTGAATTTTTCTGTTTTCCCCTTCCCTCCAGTCTCCGCAAAGCTGCTCTTGAAAAACAGCTTGCACACCTGGGGAATAATATATTGTGTGCAATGATCAAATTAGAGTTCAAAGAAAAGCTTTCTTTTTCAAAGCTTTTCAGACCAACTATGCTGTGTGGTAGCTAGAGTTCTAGTAATATTCCAGATTTTTTAAAAATTAGGCAAGCTTAGCACTAGAGCTAGCCCTCTCTGTTTTCTCCATCTTCCCCCTAGTGCTCCTGACTCTGATGTGCCCGTGACCATCCATCATCCTGAATCATGAATCCTGTAATTTATGAGGGATATCTACACTAATCTACCAACAAGAAAGCCCAGGGGATGGGTGGTTGGGAACAGATGAGAACAGAAGCAAATAGATTCTTCGCTTCTCTGAATGCCAGAATCTGCTGGAGTAAACACTCTTCATCTATGCACCCTCCTGCAGCGGTCCCCGTGAGAAGGTTCTAGCTTCACGAAGCATATTTACATACTGTTATCAGACATCTCCAAGGCCTATGTACTATTGTGCATTTATATAAAATAGTCACATTCACTACATTTATAAGACTTCTTGCTGATGATAAAGACACAACTTGGAACAGACGTGGGTACACCTCTAAAGTCACCAGGGTACATGAAGAAAATCGCTAAGAAAGTTGGAGCCAAGCCAGAAAACGTTAAGGCACCCTCTGCCACCCTCCACCAGATAGCCATCTTTCTCTTTTCAATGGGCATAAATAATGTAAAGTGTGTGCATGTGTGTGTCTGGGTGTGTGCACATAAGAACATAGGGGAGAAAACACATCTCCCTACATAATAATGAATATAAAAGCCCTTTATGGCATAAGATGATACATGACCATGTTTCAAAGCATTAGGTTCAAGGGGACATTTCCTACTATTGCTGCCTCATCATGACAGAAGATCTAGATAATAATTTTATTTTGGAAGTACATGTCAAAGTGGAAATCAAAGAGGAATATGAAAATGGGAGTGTTTCATATCCAGGTTCAAATACCAAGGAGAGCAGAACTTGGGGAGGGGTGGGAGGTGGGAAAGCATGTAGACTGTGAGGGTCCTGGTTGATAAGCAGGTCCCCCTCTTCTGGTTTCTCCCCTAAGAGTCTCACAGCCTGGCTCTTGCTCTGCTTCCTCCACCATCTTCCACCATTACTCATGACGGCTGCTTGGCAGAACACTACCTTTAAAATGTCTGAAAAGGCCTTATTTTGGGAACTTCACTCAAGGACAAAAACCTCTGTGTTCTCTGCTCAGCTACTTAAAATCCCTCCAAATGGTCCTTCACAACTAAAACTCTGATTTTTATCTTCCTCTCTTTTTTCGTTTTGGTTAAACCATTTTTAATATTGTAATTCTCCATTCTCTTACTGCACAGAGAAAAACAGACATATCTGACTCTCCACTTTTTCTACCCTGGATAACATCACATCCTGCAGATGTTCATTGGTATCTTGTGAAGCATAAGCATTTAAAATGACAAGAATCTGGAGAAAATCTAATTAATAACATAAAAGCAGAGAGACATGATCGGTAAATTTGGGTATTATTCTATAAAACTCCTAGACAGCTTTGCAACATAGACTACATCCCACAACTTCAACAGGAAAGCAAACTCAGAATTTCAGCACACTGTATAGATCAATAAGAATGCAGAGGAGGTAGGTAAACCATAAACAAAATATATTTCATCTTTTGTGCTTTAGAAAAGTTATAGTTACAGGCTCTGGCTATCACACAAATGCTCACAGGTATGATAAGCCAATTTATAATAAGTCATTAATTCCTCATTTGATAGAGATACAAAAAATCAGAAATGCTGGCACCAGAAGGAAGAAATTAGAAGGAAACATAACCATGTATTTTCCTATTGTGATGGCAAGCAGAGGTTGGGTTGTGTTTGAATGAGCCGCCCATTCATACGCTTGCTTCAGTTCCTCACGTCTAAGATGTATGTAAAAAAATTCAATGGACAAGACTCGCCTGGGGGTAATGCTGATAGTATCCATTTTCTTAGGAAGGGAAGAAAAAAGGTTATGGCAATTGTAGATTCATATATCTGTATCTTCTTCCACTTGTTTAACCTAAATATTGTGGCCTCATATTTAGTTTATAAACAGACACGCTAGGCTCCAGGATTCCTTTGGGTTCATCTCCAGGGCTTTAAAAAATGCTCTATAGGAATTGGTGGGATATTTGCTATCTCCCTACCTTCAAGGACTCAGAAAATCCATCCCGATGGGGGAAAAAGCTCCACTTTTAATAATCACTGGCAGGAACATAATTAGGTCAGGGTGACCAGCATTCTGTCACAAGACACCCAAATTTAGAGAGCACAAGTGTGAGGAAAAAAAATCAGCAACAGCAACAAAGAACTATCTAAGGCAGTGTAAAATTTTAAGCTTCTCAGCAAATTTCCACAGCTCTCTTGTCACAAGTCTAGTAGCTCAACTCCAGGGTGAGCCCAGCTTCCATGGGATTGGACAGAGATAAATAGTACTTGAAAGCGAAGGTCAAAAGCAGAGAGTTCTCTGACCCTTTGTTGCTGAGAGCTTGAGAGCAAGGCTGCCTCCTCTTTTCCTCTTGCTTCATCCACTCCCTAGCACACAGGAGACTGAACTTTGTCAAAACTGCTAGTCATATTTATAGTTGTTGTTGATGAGGTTAGAGGCCTGGCCTGAGTTAAAGGTGCCCAGAGTCGTGCACCCACTTCCAGCCCTGATGTCTACCCATCAGCAGTCACGTAATCAGAGAGTCAACCTCTATCTACACTGGGAAGATGAAGGAATACAAAGCACAATTTGGTCTCAGTCCTTATTTCTCCACATACCTTGAAAAGTTCCCACAAAAATCCTTATAGCTTTGATCTTTGGAATCCTGCAAATATAAAACAGATATATTCCCTGGTTCTTATATAACACAATGAGAATTTTGTACAGTTTTCAATGGACTGTGACATTTCTTCCTCTTACATCTCTCCTAACAAGGATTTGTCAGTTAAAAATGCCACAATGTCAATATTTTTAAACATCAAATTAAAACCATCCATGACTGATTTTCCACACACAGAAGTACGAGTTTGTGAGTAATAAAGTACACAATACCATGGTTGCTGCCAAGAAGGATGCTATTGATATTGTTCCCATCTAGAATCACTTATACTACTTCTATACAGCTTTTGACTCATCTAAAAATATTTTTGGTAAATTTAGAATTCTAGGATTTCTTCAGCCATTTTTCGAGATTTTAAAGCCATGTTGTCCATTGCTTCAGGTATAATTTGTATTTAACCTACGCAAAGGTTTTAGCCAAAAGAAGGGCATGAAACATCACAAAGCCAAACACAGAGAGCGTTGTCCGAACATCTGACATTTGGGATCATCTGGATCATTTTGGATCATTTACCTTTGTTACTATAGTTAAAAGTAAACTAAACAGAAACAGAATTCAGGAAGCACTGTTTAACTTCTAGTGTTAATTGCAGTTTGGATGCACAATATTGTATAAACTGCTGATCAAATAGTCTATACAAAGGTTATGTGCCCAATGTCCTCTTCCATATAAAAATCTTTCATATATAATTAGTATTACTTTTGCTTAATCCCAACTCACAGGCACAGACAACAGCATGGTAATTTCCAGAGGGGAAGGGGGTGGAAGGAGGTAGGAGAGGGGAAGGGTGATGGAAGGAGATTTGACTTGGGGTGATGAACACACAAAACAATATACAGATGATGTATTATAGGGCTGTTCACAAGAAACCTATATAATTTTATTGACCAATGTCACCTCAATACATTCAATGAAAAATTAAAAAAACTAAATTATTTTTTTTCTTTCTTATGGAATGAGTTAATCCTTCAACTACCTTAATTCTACTAAAGTGGAATCAAAATTAACCAGAAGTCATCCTCATTCATGATTCTTAGCATTGACGCAATTTTCCAATGGGAGCTGATAGAAAGTCTCACCAGCAAGGCATGTTCAGTCCTTTTAGCACCGCTTTGGCCTCCAGGGAGCAACCTAATTTTTGTCACTAAAAAACTTTAAAAATTAGACTGATATTTGAGAGTGACGTCCTCTCTTGGCAGATGCATTGAAAGTGATGAAATATTTCTTATTGAATGTGTCTACCATAACCTGAATATCTTCTGAGCTGAATCTTAAGAGTCATTAATATAAAAATATAATTGGCTAAATTTGGCAAAGTATGAGGCACAATTCTGAGGTCCTCAATTTCAGAAAAACAAAATAAAATGATTAAAGTTTAGAACTCAATTTCTTAATAGAGTATTCCAAAGTACTCTGCAAGACAATTCTAGACAGACCCTCACTTAGGAACACATATATTTTAGTAACAATAGAGACGCGTAAGTTTACTCTACACACACAAGCGCACACTCCCCGTCTCAGGTTTAGTTACAGCTATCTAACCACACAAAAGGAAACACAATGCCACACCTGTAAATCATCACTATAAAGTCATCCCAAACTTCAATCTAAGAAAATATTCTCATTAACTTGTAGTCAGACTTTGAATTACACAATCACATGTGTGTATCCTCAAGTGAAGACAATATGGAACAATCAAAATATTTTGGTCTAATCCAGGGTATCTCATCCTCGGCACTACTGACTGACATGTGAGACTAGGTAATTCTTTATTTGTGAGGAATCTGACCTGTGCATTTTGAGGGCTTAGCAGGATACCTGGCTTCTACCCACTAGATGTCAGTAACACCCTCCAACTCATGACAATCAAAAATGTCACCAGATGCAGAAGGAGAATCACTCTGTTTGAGAATCACTGGTCCGAGTTTAGGATATTTTGGTTTTGCCTTTCAGAAGCCACAGATTTATGGACTTAAAGTTGTACAAATCTATTGCACGAATCCATTTCAGGAGTCACTACAAGATGTAACATTTCCAACATCCTTTCAATGGAACTGTGATTCATTGGCTTTATGTTGCTCATTAATTATATTTTAACAAAGCACTAATTTGAGTAATATTTTATTAACATTTATGTGTTTTTCATTAGCCCTTTTATATTTCTGATGAAGTGTATAGGTTAAAATGTATTCCCTTTTAAGGTAATTATTAATAACAACAGCTCAAAGGAGGAACTATATTCAGGATTGCACATAGTGAGTATTTAACACAGTTCACTCAATGGTACATTTGCACTACATTTTGCTGCCACATAGAATCAAAATAGCAAATCAGTTCTGCACAGAATCAATACTCTCAGATTCTTAACATTCTAAATATTAACATAATCCATGTTGTGTGAACCAGACATATTTCAACTGCTGCTTCCTATAATAACCTCAAAATTTTATCTTACTTAGAAAATTTCTTATTCCAATGATATAGATACTTTCCAAGGGCATCGATATCTTGGTAGCTTTTAAGTTAATTTACCAAAAACTGCCACCTGTTTTAATCTATATTGTGTACTATTTCTACCATTTAAAAAATGAAACTTTTTGGCACGGTTTACCTAAATTTTGGCAATACTTAAAAAAAAACAAAGATGATGATTTCCAGTGTCTCCTTTTACATTAAGGCATCCCAAAGAACAATGACAATGAAAGGCTTCCTTTACCCTTCTCTGATATGTAAACACATCTAGCTGCTTGTAATTTGTCGGAGTTTGGCTTTCTAAATTGTCCTACCTGCTACTAAGAAAATAGATAGCTACTAACTCACATCCCTTCACTTGTATGAATCTGCTTTGTATGAGCATGCTCAACGCAGGGTCCACTCAAGGGAATCAGAATGAGCAAAACAATTCTGTTCATTTGGGGTAAGCATTTGGGAGTAAGGCTTACATCTCATGCTGGTATGAGCACTGTGAGCAGCAACCAGTTAAGCTGGCTTATCTTACATTGGGGTCTAAGGGGTGGTACATAATACCTTTATAGCTCTCCAATACTGGTTACAGGGTTTTTTTTAATACCAAGTTATGTGGGTTCAGCTTTCATAGTTGCACAGGAATGAGCTTTGTTTAATTGAGTGTGTGTGTGTATGTGTGTGTGAATATGCTTTCTCTTAAAGTGAATACATCATGGTAGATAGAAGAGGGGGGAACCTTCCAGTCTGTCTTCAGAGACTAAGCTTACACCATTGGGAACATTAAATTATAAAGACAATTATGCAAAGAGTTTGCAAATAAATAATGCACTCACATTTGTAGTCTTTTTGCACTAGAATAACAATAATTCAAACAGGTTTACAAAATGAAGACCTAAAATTGAATTTATGCCCTAAGTTCTGAGGAGGAGGAGAAGTGATTCATGTTATCCAGACTATGAATCGACACAGTCTAAATTCAACAATGCTTCACACTAAGCAGACCTGACAAAAGGGGAGGAAGCAATTCTTAGTTAACATGTTTAAATGGAAGAAGACTATAGCTAACAGACTGGGTTCAACAAATCACAAAGTCAGCTGCAGTGTTTTATATCCTTAGATTTTTTCAAATCTATCTCATCATCTACTCACTGCCCCTAAATAGAGCAAAAATAAATAATAAGTTTTAAAAACCTATGGTTCCAATGTCAGTTTTCATATGTAGTTTTTTAAATTAATCCAGTTTATATTGATAATCAGTAACACTTTGCCCTGGTATTCCCTTTATTAACATTGAGTGACTCCTCAACTTCAACAACTAAAGTTCCATCTTATTTGTGAACTGCACCTTCTCGATTTAAACCATGTGAATGTGCTTTACCAGCATGATTTCATCAGACTGTTACTAGTTGCAAATCCACAATGTGCCACAAAATATTTCATAGGATGTTTTACTTCTTATTTGTCCTCCAAGCCAACATTAAAAGGAGAGTTTTCCATGGTTGTTGTTTGCAAGTGGCCCATGCAAATCCATGAAACGACTTCACTATTTCCTTTTGCAACCATATAGAAAACCTAACAAAAATACCCTGACTTAGTTTTTCCTTTTTCCACTGTCCCTAGGAGGTGGGCTGGAGTGAGGTGTCCTCACACGGGTCTAACTGCATTTTCAGTGCACCGACTTTATGAAGATACCAGAGTTGGAGAAACTCCTCCGGCATGGCATGAAAGCCAGAAAAGGGTAAGACGTTATCATAGTAGTGGTGGCTGATGGGCTGCTCATGCATATTCACAGAGAAGGGCCAGAAGCCATAGATGGCCACCTCCTCACAGAGGCCCAGGGCTGCGCTCACCAGAAAGAGCCCTGTGGACAGGCGTTTTGCATGAATTCCCCTACTTTTCCAGAACTTCCCAATGCTACGCAGAAAGTTGGGGTTAGCAAAGAGCACTGTTTGATTTGCACCGACATCTGACAGCGTGTAATAAACCCGGAGGGATGGCTCTGTTCCTGTCTTCATAGAGAAAGCAGGCATGTAGATGTAACTGTGGTTATAAATTTTCATGTTGTCCACAAATGTCTTTCTGGACCATAAGAGGTTCTGAAACCTATTAAAAAGAAAAAGAGGCTCAATTAACCTGAAGAAAAGAAATTCATCAACATCCGCTCTATTGTTCTTCTGATGGCATTAACAGCTCATATCATCCTTAACTTCGAATTATCTCTCATCATGTAGTTTGCCTTTTCCCCACCTCTATATCCTAAACTCAGGTTAAGATTCCTTAATGGAATTCATTCTGAACTAACGCACATTGTACACTTTGTTCTCTTCATTTTCTTTGCTTGGAACGTAAAGATGATTTAATACTCATGAATGCAAAAAGCGTTTGGTTATTGGTTAAGATTTTGATAAAAGCTGCTTGCGAGGCCTGACATAAGCACAGGACTGGTTTCCTCGACTGCAAATCAAAGGATCTTCTTCTAAAATACTTCTTCCCATCAAAATTCTGTATTTTACAATGCAAGTATTCAGATTAACCAATGCTATATTGTGACTACAACATAGAAAAAAAGACTTGTTATTATAAAATGATGCTGAGTTGCCCATATTGCTTGCACTAAAGAATATTTCTTTCCTGTGTTCTTTCATTTTGAATTATGTGAAGTGAAAGTTCAAATATATTTCCCTAAAATCGATGGTACACATCTTATGTGTCAGGCATTAGGGAATTAAAAATTTAATTACCAAATATGGGGCCTCAAAAATTCAGTAGTTGTGGAAACAAAATTATAAATGAGTGCACTAGAATGTTCTAAATGCAATATTTGATATGGTAAAAAGCCATGAAATTCAGTTTAAAATAACTCATTCTGCCTTGGAAGAGGATGTGGAGTCCAAGAAAGCTACAGAGAGGAGATGACATTTAAATATATGTCCTTGGGAAAACAACAGGAAGGACAGCAACTAAATGAGAAGGGACACTTTGGTCACTGACAAAGGCATACAGTGTACTAAAACAAGGATGGGGATCGTGTTCCTGTAACGAGCAAAGTGGAAATGATGGGGGCAGTGGTTGAAGATGAGGTGTGTTGAAAACAATTTGTGTGTCTTTGTTTGGATTCACTCTGTAGTGATGGGGAACCTTGGCAGCAGTGAGTACTTACAGCACTGACTCTTTGGATTACAAATAATTCATCATTTATTTAGTGGTCAGTCTGTGTCAGAAAGGTAACTCTGGTAGTTAGAATGTGTTCTGGGGAAGAAAGGAGCTGGTGGCCTAGAGACCAGTTAAGAGGTTGCAGATATAGCTGGAGGGAAAACAAAGGGAAACAGACAATGAAATAGATGAGAGCCTTGCAGCAGCATCTAAGAATGGAACTGAGCCACAATGAGCTGAGGGATTCTGGCCTGACATCTTGGCAGGGCTCATCATAATAAATATGTGAAACCAAAATTCTGAATACACAAATCCACATGATTTTATACAGCAATCAATGTTTTTAATTCTGCCTGCCAAGAAAGGTATGTTTCTCAAGCCCAAAGGAAGGGAAATTGCTCAAGTTTTCTTTATGTCCTTGACTTAGCAACCTGTGTTAGCGATTTTTACTGGGCCCTGACAAATACAGAAATGACTGCAGTGTTTTTAGATGGAATCCCTTTACCGTGGATGTCATGGAAGCACATTGAACCATATTCTGGAGCTGAGCGAGCTTCTTCAACAGAAATTCCTACTTTCCAACTTCCAAATAGTCTCTTCTTTGACGATTTTAAACTCTCTCATCTTTTTAAACTGCCCATCCCAATTTTCTGTTCTCTCCCTCCAAAAGTAACTCAGTCTCAATAATGTAGACATGCCCTGCAGATGATAATACCCCACTTTGTTTGAACACTGGTTCCCAAATGCTAGCTAGAAAACCTGAGTTTTTAGCCAGCACTCTCCAGTGATTTCATGATGCAGGTGTCCAGGCGACACACTTAGCAGATCAGAGCCATCAGTGCAATCTATCTGGCTCTCTGCATCTTCTCCTCAGCATCTCTTTCTTTACATCTTCTAATTTTATGCTCATTGTGACTGTGAGAGGAAGAGTGCTCCCTCCCCCCCCCATTCATGGAACAAGCTATTTCACATTTTCCAAAGAACTCTTGTTCAAGGTGGGTTTTCCTTCTTTAGAACATCCAACCTCTCCATCTCTACTGAATTATCCCCTTCTGTCTTTTAAACATTGTTAGAACTTAATAAGAGAAAAAATTTCCAATGTCCACACTGTTCCCAGAGCTACATTCTAGGTCTCACGGCACCAGCAACATATAGAGCAGTTAGTATACTTCTAGTTGTTCCCTTCTGTTTTCCATAAACAACTCCTCCCTTATTCCTATGCAGAATGACTCCTGTTCCACAAGGTTCTGCTGGCTGATGGGAAACTCCTTATTTTTCTTGTGGACTACATACTAATGAGGATTAAACACTGCACCAATAAAACCAAGGCAACTGATTCCATGTTCCCTGTCTCAAAGCTGACTGATTATTGTTGAACAGGGTAGTCTTCCTTTCTTGAGTTTTAGATTTGAAAAGAAAGACACATCTTGGATTTACTATACTCTTAATTTTATTGACAATGTTAAAAACAGCCCATACTGTGTATTATATTTTATTACTTTTATCTACTCCATTCTTCAACAAATGGCATTATTTGACTCAATTCAATAATTATTTGTGGCATAACTAGTATAATTAATGTTATAGTGATCAAGAGTTTCATAAGAATGGTTTTGAGTTTTACTGAATTTTTAAAAAATCAATTAGAATGATAAAAGAGTGGTCTCCAGCTTATCTCTCCAGCCATATCATACTCAGTACCCTTCATGCCCTCACCCTGTGCTCCAACCATCCTTGTACATACACTTCCCATTTTTCATCCACTTTTTTGCTCATCATTCATTGCGCTCCTGAGGTTTGCCTATATGTGAAGACTCAACCTTTTCCTTCAACAGTTTATTCCTTTCTTCTAACTTCATCATTCAAGAGTCTTCTTTAAGTTCCTCAATATGAACTGATCATGCCATCTGAGAATGTGTCCTTTTTGAAGAGAGGGAAATATCTTACTCATCTTTTAATCTTTATAACCTAACTCAGAATAATGATATATTGTATGAATAGAAAGCTATTTTTAAAATTTATTGTTGTTCACCTTTTTCCCCACTGCTCACCCCAAGCCTTTCCCCCAACTCCCACAGTCAATCCTCCCATTGTCTGTGCCCAAGAGTCCTCTATTAGTGTTCCTTTGCTTGCCCCCTCCTCATCTTTCCTCCATTCTTCCCCTCTCCGCTCCCCTCTGGCCACTGTTAGTTTGTTCTCTATTTCCAAGTCTCTGGTTCTATTTTGCCACTTTGTTTGTTTTGTTTATTGAATACTGTGGAACAGAAAGAAAGAACTCCTACCCTTTGTGACAGCATGGATGGAACTGGAGAGCATTGTGCTAAGTGAAATAAGCCAGGCAATGCAAGACAAATCCTATATGATCTCACCTATAAGTAAAACCTAACCTATAGTGAATATTGGCAAGAAATAAAAAAATATACTAATAAAACAGAGTGGAAAGCATAGAAATGCAGCACATAATACAAATAAATTTAATATGTGATATTAGAGACATAATGAATGAAATTTTTTAAATTAGCTAACAAACGATGCCAAGATAACTAGTTAACAATTTGAAATTTGAGGGGAAATAGATTCATGCTTGACAAGAAAATTATAAAATAATTCTAAGATAAGATAATTATTTAAAGTTCATGTTACAAGAGAAAACTAAAAACAAAGTTATCAGACATTTACAGATATCTTTTACAAAGTAAAATATTTTTTCTTTTTTTAAATTTATTTAAATTTTTTTATTGATTATGCTGTTACAGTTGTTCTATTCCCCCCTCCATTCCCCTTCACCCTACCCCCCCGTCCCCACCATTAACCCCCCTTTAGTTTATGACCGTGTGTCTCAAGTTCTTTAGATTCTATATTTCCCATACTATTCTTGCCCTCCATCTATTTTCTATCTACTGTCTATGCTACTTATTTTCTGTACCTTCTCCCCCCTTCTCCCACTCCCACTCCCAAGTAAAATATTGAAAAAAATGATTATATCAAGATGAGAAAGTTCATTCCTGTGAAAAATAAAATAACTAAAAATAAAGTGACTGAAAAATATTTTCAGCCAATGTGACAAATAGAAGGTTAATATTGAAAACAATATAGTCTCAATCTATTGACATATTGACATAAAGTGGACAAAAACAAAAAAAACCTAAAATAAATAGCAATGGACAAAACACATGAAAATGTTCATCTCTAGGTTGCCAGTCAAGGTGCAAACTGAACAGAATCAGAGCAGGTAAGGATCCAGCTCTCCCAGCTATCTGGAAATAAGAGAAAAGATGTTTTTAAAAATCTACAGCCAACCTGAAAAAAGAAAAGAAGGCACACCCTCGGCGGAGCCCCAAATCGGGGGTACCGCTGAGAGACAGAAAGCTCACTGCAGGAAATCAGAACATAACTACCGGCCAAGCATCACTCTCAATGGCAGCAGTGCCCTGTGCCAAAAGGCAGAGCAACTGGAGAAGGTGGGTGTCTGGGAACCTTCAGGAAGGTTGTTGTTAAGATTATGGGGTAGCAGGGTCATCCAGGTGGGCTGAACCCTACGATCCTGCACTGGTCAATTACCACTGTGTGTGGCAGGCAGGGGATTATATATGTTAGGCTCTAGGAAGGAACAGCAACTATGTACCGAAAGAGCCAGTACAGCCCAGGGAAAACTGGGATGCTTTTCAACTCAGACAATATTGGAAGCCAGGCTCATAGTTCTCAAGTAGAATATCGACTCTGACAGGCCAAAGGAAAGACCTGTAGATAGTGACACTTTGGAGTCATCCAAAAGAAGGCCACCTTACCACCTTTGCTTCCACTGAGAGTAAAGTCTACCTGTCGAGAAGTTGCCTCTGCACTGAACTTCCGGTTGCCAAATAAGAACAGATATCCAAGATGAGAAACACTGAAGAAAAGTCTCTAACGTGAGGGTCAGAGGACAAAACCAAAGAACAAAAGAATTCAGA